GGGCCAGTGCCTCTTCCCTGCACACCACACAGCCTCACCCCTTCCTCCAGCTCCTCCCACCTCCCAGGACTCCCCCAGCCTCTCCCACCTGAAATACAGCCCCTGGCCCATGCCAGCCCCCAGCTCCACTCAGCTCCTCCCTCCTCCTCTTCCTATCACCGTGTTGGGGTGTGAGGCCGGGACGGGAATCCTGGCCCCCTGCTCCGTCGCTGTGTGCCTTAGCCCCTCTGGTCTCAGTTTCCTCATCTCTAAAGTGGGGATCATGACAGGCCCTGCCTCAGAGGCTTGATCTGAGACTGACAGGAGGCATGCCCCGTGACGGTGTCAGACACGGGACGTCCTCCTCCTCCTCACCATCACGTGCAGATGGCACTTGGAGCAGCAGGTGCTTCAGGCTGTCTCCCTGTGGGGCACACGTGGGCAGGAGCCGGATCGCCTGATCAGGAGCACATAGTGTGCCGAGCTCACGGTGCCAGCAGGAGGAGCGTGGCCCCAATCCTTGTCCTGGCTCTGTGTGTCTGCCCTGCAGAGACCGCCCAGAATCTCCCAGGCCCCCAGCAGCAAGAAGCCGTGACCCTGCCCCCAAGTCTTCACCTGCAGATCCTGAGCATCCCAGGCTGGAACTACAGCTCCAACCACACAGAGCACCTGCAGAGCCTCCAGAAAGGTGGGGCAGGTGTCCAAGGGAACCAGACTCACGGCTCCCTCCCCATGTCAACCTGGCCCCGCGCCCATCACCACACAAAGTGGGCTCCTCTCAGTGTTGTCCTGCTTCCGCATGGTCACCTGATCCCCTTCTCTGCCCAGTGGGGAGACCCAGGCCCACAGAGAGGCTCTGGGGGGCCAGGGTCACTCAGCAAGCAGGGTACACGGTGGGCATGGATCCCAGCCCAGGACCTGCCCACACCCATTCTCTGATGGATCCCTGCTAACCCCACCACCAAACCCCAGTCATCGTCCACCTTCTGCCAGACCCTCAGCCTGCAGTGCAGTCCTGCCTCCTCAGGGACTCCTCCTGGAGCCCTGAGCAGCCAGTCCCACTCGTCCTCTGAACCCAGGAAGGCTGACTGTCCAGAGCTTCCATTCATTCACTGAACAAATGTCTCTTGTGCCAGGCACTGGGGAATCAGCAGTGACCAAGGTAGGTAAGGACCCTGGACTCACAGAGCTCTCAGACTAGAGGGGGAAGCAGCCAAGTCACCAGCCAGTGATGTTGGTGTTCACATTAAGCCCCCAGCAGGGCATCATGGAGGGCTTCCTGGTGGAGGTGACACCTGCCATGAACCGACCCATCCTGTTGCCAAAGCTCCAGCTGCACCTTATCTTCCCCTTTTCACTGGGAGCAGCTCAAAGGCAGGGCTGGCTGCCCCTCAGCCACCCTCTTGTCCCCAGAGCCCCACCCAGGTCCTGGCAGGCCCCAAAGACTGCTCAGTAGGAGTCTGCAGAATTAGGAAGGAGAAAAAGGAAGAAGCAATAGGCCAGATAACACCTTTATCTGATAAAATGGATCTTGGGGGCCATGGCTCATGCCTGCAGCCAAGTGGCTTTCTAGCACTGAACCCCATCATCAGGAATCCCCACTGTCACAGAAGATGCTGGGCGGGGAACCTCCCCTACAAGGCAGAGCGTTCCCTTCCCACTTGTGTGCAAAGTCACATGCAAGAGATTGGGTCCCCTGTAGACAGCTGGCTCCCAATTAGGAGGAGAAAGGGGCTCTCCTGGGGGTAACCCCAGACCCACTGAATGAAGGTCTGTCCTCCGTGGAGAGCAGCGAGTCAGGGGCAGAGTGAGGGGAGCCTCAGGGATGGAGTGTGACCCCCCCCTCCCTGCTCTCCCCGAGCTCAGGGCCACCTTATGAAGTAGATGTGTCATCCTGGACATCAGCTTGTCCTCAGCCTCACCCCCACCCCCAACCCCATCAGGAGACAGAGGACCTGCCTGACCCTCGGGCTCGAATCCGTAACCACCTCCTGCCCCCAGAACAGGTAGAAGGGATTTTACAAACCCTGTGTGCGGGGTCATTTGGGAATGGATGGTTGAATGTAGTGATGAATGGATGGATGGATGGGTGGATGGATGGGTAGATGATGGATGGTTGGTTGGATTAATGGATGGATGGATAGATGGATGAGTGGATGAATGGATGGATGGGTCTATGGACGTATGAGTGTTTGAATGGGTGAAAGGAAGGATGGATTCATGGATGGACTAGTGGATCGTGGATGGATGGATGGATAGATAGGTGATGGATGATGAATGGATAGATGAATTGGTAGATACATGATGAATGATGGATAAATGATAGATGAACGGATGGGTAGATGGATAGATGAATGGATGGGTAGATGTGTAAATGTGTATTTTTCTCTGCGGGATGATGGATGGATGATGAATGAATGGATGGATGGATGGATGGATGGATGGGTGGATGGGTGGATTGGTGGTTGATGGATGGATGAATGGATGGGTGGGTGGATGGATAGGTGAGTGGATGGATGGATGGATCTATGGAAGTAAGAGTGTTTGAATGGGTGAAAGGAAGGATGGATTCATGGATGGACAAATGGATCATGGATGGATGGATGGATGCATGGGTGGGTGGATGAATCGATGAAGAGGTTTCCCTCCCAAGGTTGAATTTAGTGGAACCCAGTTATATAAAGAGCAGGCCCACCAGGCAGTTTCAGTGAGAAAGCTCTAGGCACTCAGTCCTCCACCCCATGGGAAATGAGGCCGTGTATGGCCAGGACAACCTATATATTACACTCATGGTAGGGCCAAAATGCAAGGGGCCCAGGACAGTGGGAGTCCTGGCAGGAGGGGGTGGTTAAGAACCTTTTTCAAAGAACTACAGTAGAGTGTAGGCTGGTGCGGTGAATGATGGGGATGCTGGGTTGAAATGCCCTGGGAACAGATCATCTCTGCTCCCTCAGGCAGCTCCAGCTCTCACTCGACACCCCTGCAAGGCACTAAGGTCACCATTTACCCAAAGGAAATCCAGACGTTCTTCATCCACTTTCGTAGCAGTGAGCCCTTGGCTGACTCTGTGACTTCAGGGAGACCCCAGGGACTCCAGGAAAAGGAACTGGTCCCAGGACATGGAAAAGCAGCATGGAGGAATGAGGGAAGATCAGCTGCCCACTTGATAGGCTAATGCAGAAAGAAAATGGTCAGATTGGGGGTTTTGTTGTTGTTTAAATAAAAATTGCATTTCACAGACCCACATGTTCTCCTGGGGCACTAGAGCCGGCCTCTCCTATCCTCCTACCTGGGTGATGTCTGCACGCACACTCACACTCCTCCTGCCTGTGGAGAGTCATCAGGAAGCTCCCATAAGGCAGAGTGAAATACCCAGCGTGACAGCAAATGCACCTGCCATGCAGGCCCCGCCCCCTCTCGCCCAGGCCACCAGTGTGACGGGCTGGCTTACTGTGTGCCTAATCATGGGGTACGGGGGGGCCACTGCGTGGACATGGGCCCATCAGAGCCCATGGGTGGCATGGGGCTCTGGGGCCCATTCAGGAAGGCTGTGGAAAGGTTACCCCCAGGGCAGGAGCTGTGGGAAGAGCAGGCACCCTGAGGCCTGAGCCCTGACAGGCTGGGTGCTGAGAGCAGGGGCAGGATCTGCTGGGTATTTCTTTCTGCTCTCACTACAGGGCTGTGTGAGAAACAGCCCTGGTGTCTAGTGTCGTGTGATGCTCTCCTAGGACGGGGACCTGGGGTGGGAGCAGGAGCCTGAAGAGGATTCCCAGCACCTTCCACTGTATGGGCTCCAAGCCTCGTGGGACCGATGATGCCATGGAACCAGACTGTCCCTTGTCATTGGAGGAACCTTAAGGTTCCTTCCCATGTCCCCTCATTGCCATTCCTGTGTGTGCCCGGTTCTGTCCTGGGCACCTGACAGATGTGATCTGGAAGCCTCTGGCATGCTGCATGGTCAGGATTCCTGACTCTGTCAGAGCAATCCAGAGTCCTTCCCCACTCCCTGTGGGCTCCACCACACACTCCAGCCTCGCGTCCCATCCTTCTCTGCATCGGCCACATCAGTCTTCTCCCAATTCCTCTGACATCCCAGCACAGTCCCACCCCAGGGCCTTGGCACATGCCGCTCCCTCCACTGGGAAACTCCTACCAGGTGGCCTGCTCCGCTCCCTCCCTGCTCATTCAGGTCTCTGCGCCAGGTCACCTTCTCCTCTGGCCCCTCTATGGCAGGTGTCACCTACACAACCCTCCCCCGCCAGTCTCCTCCCCTTCCGGGTTTCTCTCCCTTCACGGCCCTTCCGTCTGCCCTTGCTCATTACGGCTGGGATCATCTGTCTCCTACCACTGGATGTGTGCTTCACAGAGGAGGAAACTTCTGGTTTTCCCCCACTGTATCCCCAGGCTGGAAGCAGACGTGGGCACAGGCAGCCCTTGATCAATGTTTAATCCCTGAATCAAAGCTGCCGTGATGAAGGTTGTCTGTGGTTTCTGTTCAGAATAAGAATGAAGAGGGGAAGATGGGGTCACCTCGGCCCCATTGACCTTGTGCATCCAGGGTAGATGGCCTGGGACTGACCATCTCCTGGAGGGGCCCATTCCCCAGGAACCCGCACCCCAGCCCCAGCCTTCCCCAGGAGGGGCGCCGAGTGCAGTGTCAAGGCTCTGGGTGACCAGGTCAGTCATTTGCAGTGAGTCCCAGGGTGTGTTGGGGGCCTCACCCCATCCCCGTACAGTAGCCCAAGGGCCCTGCATGGCCCACACCCTCTAGGCACCCAGGGTTAATGGTTCAAAAACCATGACATGGGGACAAAGTGCTCTGATCCGAGGATCATCTGGAATCCTTCAGGGACCCAAGGGAGCTGGGTGTTCATGGTAATAAAAGCTGACATAGGAGGATCAGTCTCATTAGCAGAGTCTGCCCTGAGGGCATCACACACCTGCTCGCCGGCCCTCCACAGCCCAGGCCGGGCTGAGATGCTGACATGGAGCACCCGGGACCTTTACAACTCTGGAGAGAGAAGTAAGAGTGATCCAAAGCTTCTTTTAAGCTGGAATAATGAACCATAAATTATTCAGTGATCTGGATGCTGTTTCCTGGCAAATGTAAACCCCACTCTACTCCCGCTTGCCCTGTGCCCAGATGCTGCTCTCCGATTCTGACACATCAACCCAGCTGCTGCCATAAAATGTACGTGGCTGGTTCTGGAACAAAGCGATTACCCATTGGGCCTTTGAGCTGCAGGTGAGGAGCTGGAATCTGAGCCCAGTCTCGTCAGGCACATGCCAAAGGACACCCTCAGGGTCACCAGGACCCTCTCTTAGGATGTGCAGTGGCAGGTCATTCCCCTAGGAGAATCACAGGAACACCTACAGGAAACACACGGGGTCATGTAGATCAGCGCCATGAACCCTCATGACACTCATTCATTCATTCATTCATTCATTCAGTAGGTGGCTCTCCCCTGGTGCTGGGCTAGCCTCCAGAGAGAGACCCATGGGGGAAAGAAATGTGGTCCTGGCCATCGTGAGGGAGGCGGGTCCTTGGCCCATTTCACAGATGAGGAAGCTGAGGCTTAGGGTGTCCCAGGGGGCTGTGGAGTCGCTCCTCCCCTCCTCACTGGGTGAGGACAGATGGGACGACGGGGGTCTTTCCTCGTGAGAAGGAACACTGCTGCTGTAGAGCTTCTCGGTGCTGGAATGAGTGAGCCACAGGCAAGCTGAACCTGAAACCCGAAGCCCAGGGTGCCTTCTGTATGGAAGGGGATCCTCTGGGGACACTGGTGAAGAATAACAGCATGTCCCTCTCTGAGCTGCGACCTGGGTCTCAAAAGTTGATGTTATCCACTTCAGTTTAATGAGACCCCAACATTAGTACCTGTTTTCAAGTAACTGAAAGAAATCCAGAGAGAATATCTGTCTTAATGCAAAAAAGCAAAATGCAGAAATAGTGTTCAGTATTGGTTCTGCATGGAGATGAGTAGGTGTAGAGGCCGAGTGCACCTGAACAGTGCGTGGTGCCCCCAGCGCCTTCCCCGGGGACCACACTCAGCATCTGGGCCTCAAGCTGCCAGAAGTTGGAATTAGTCTGTGAGCATCTGGGCTTTTTCTTGATTTCTTGTGTGCATCAATTAGAAAGACTTGTCCTAAGGTACCAGGAAAACCTAAGAGAGGTGATTTTTTTGGGTCTGGGAACACTCCAAAGTTTTTTCCATATACATTAATGGTAATTGCGTTTTGGCTTTATTCCATTTGGCTCAGGAAAGGTTTCATAAGAATGCCCTTCTTTCAGAGAACTGGGGACACCTGTCACTCAAGGTGCTGGCCTTAGATGAAATGGGGGCCTATCTCTGACCTTGTCAGCTTTGGGCACTCTGAGGTCTGGAACATGTGTCTCGCTGTTATGGAGGCCTCACAGGGGAGCGGAACCACGTGCTGATGAAGACGAGATCACTTTCTCTTTCTGAGCTAGCCTCCTGTGGGATCAGCTGCTTGCAATGTGATGGAGCACTGGCTGCAGGTAGGACTCTGCCCTGAGAAGCCCAAGGTCATTTTCTCCAATCCTCTCCTAAACAAAGATAGCCGCTGAGGACTTCAGACATCCAGGGGAAGAGGGACAATACATTCTGAAACATGAAAACCATGAGTCCTGCAGCTGCCCTTGGCTTCGAACTTCAGCTGACCTCTCCTGGTACGAGAGACAGAGGGAATAAAGAGAAAGACAGCCCTTCCCTCCTGACTCATCCAGCTGGTGCCCCAACAACTGGTCAGGAACAGAGATGGCGGTCACCAGGGGCAACTTATCAAGTGTCCATAGACACATCTGGGCCAGACATGCACAAAGAAACCTGCAAACCCTAAGTCATCCTCTCCACCCAGACAAACTGAAGTCCAGAAAGCTTAAGTCATTTGCCCAACATAGGAATGTGGTTGTTAAGAGTGCAGGTCTTGGATGTGAGAGTGGCCCAGGCTCAAAAACTGCTCCATCACTTATGACTTGCCATGAAGTTACCTCCCGAACACTCAGTTTCTTTGTTGACATATGAGTCAATAAAAGTACCCAGGTCATCAGATTACTGAGGATTGAAGGAGATAACCCACGTCAAGTACTTACTATAGGGACTGGGGCATAGTAAGCAGTCAGCGAATGTTGGCAGCTATTATTATGTCTTTCCTATCCCAAAGCTCTGATAATTTAACAGATGACTTTGATGATTACTGCGACCATCTGTTGGATTATCATGGGCTGGCACTGTACCTTTGTATACCATTTACCTTCAGAGCAAACTTCAAAGTAGATACAATATCCTTAAGATGCATATGAGAACATTGCACTTTATTAACCAGCTCAAGGTCATGCAGTTGGGAAGAGCTGAGCTGGGACATCCACTCCCAAGGTGACATGGCACTAGCCTGTCATGGGCAGTCAGTCTCATCTAAGGCCTGTTAAGTCTTTTTAGAGCCCTGAACCAGGGGCAAAGATGGTCAGCACTGTTCCCAGGGTCAGGCCATCTTGGGTTCAAGCCACTTCTGCTGCTCACAGGCAAGTAATTCAGTGCAGTTCAGCAGACAGTCCCTGAACTCTGGCCTGGGTGAGGTGCCAGATCTTGGAGATTTGAACTGAATGACCTCAAAACAATCTCTCCCATCCCACATGCCCATTTGTCCTGTGGCTTTGCCACTCCTTCTAATGAGAGGTGGAGTCCGATTCCCCTCTGCTAGAATCTGGGCCAGTCTGTAACTTGCCTTGACCAATAGAAAAAAGCAGAAGTGACACTGGATAACCTAAGAGATTTTAAAGCTTCCACTTTGGCACGTCTGCAGTTCTGAGCCACCCTGCAAAGAAGTCGGGCTACCCTGTTGGACTCTCCATGTAGAAGGGGAAAGGCTCAGCCAGGTTCCAGCAGTTCTAACCATCTGGCTGATGCATCTTGCACCATCTTGGCGCAGCCAGCATCTGAATGACTGCCAGGGATCACTGAGTAACCCAAGGTTAACCAGCAGAAGAACCACCCAGCTGAGCCTGGCCCAGATTGCAGAATCATAAGCAAATACATGGCTATTGTTTTAAACCACTAAACTTGGGGTGGTTTGTTACACAGCAATAGCCAACTGGTATACTAAGTAAGGCCCATCTACTCACTCCCCATATCCTACCCTAAACTGGTCCCCTCAAGATCAGCTCTCACCTTCTGGGCACATCACTCACTCCTTGCTTAGAACCCAGTTTCCTCATCTATCAAAAGGGAAGGTGCATGATTACTGAAGTACTTTTTAGCTCTGAAAATTCAGTAACATTCAAAGACCTAAAACAAGTTAGAATGAGCTTCAGAGCATAAAACAATGACACATAGTGTTCGATTTTTAAGAAGGATAATCTGACCATTGTTTTAACTGCAGTGTTTAAAACACCTTGAACTTCTCAGCCAGGAAATTGTATGTGAAACTGGTTTTCCTGTGGTTAAGAAAGGACAACTGCAACATTAAGACACTCTAACTTGAAAACAAAGGGTAAAACCTAAAGGCCTCAATCCAGAGCCTTTCTTGAGAAATGGAGAACCAATCTGTGTCTTGGTTCTTCCCACGACACATGGCCAGTGCCATGTGTCAAAGATTTATGAGCTAAAGCACAAGTGGTATTCAGGAGGGAATGTTGAAATGCCATTTAGAAATTAGCAAGTGCAATGAAAAAAAAATCAATTGAGCCTCTGGCAGAAAAATGAGTGAGTGGGGTGGAAACTTTTACACCAGAGGAAATGGCATGTTCAGGAAATCTACCAGAAACCCAACCAAATGAATCCATTCTTACTTCATCACATTCAAAGGGTCTGTCTACCTCTGATCCAATGAAGCACCCTTGCTGGGAGCCCACACCTGCCCTGGTACCCACCTGCACAGGTGTGAGCAATGCCACCCTGCACCAACTTTTTCATCTTCTCTTGGATCTGGCTCCAGCAACTTCTAGCTGCATGACCTTAGCTCTCTGTGACTTAGTTCCCTCCTTTGGTTTCCATGGTGCTAAGAGCAGTACCTACCCTTTCTTCCCTTCTATTCCAACAATGGACTTGAGTAGTACCTGGCAGGGGTGAGGGTTCACTGTCATCAGTTGTCCTTAGCCTCTTTCCCTGCACCCCACATGTCTAGCTGATCACTTGTTCTTGTTGACTCCATTTGCACAACAGATCTCGAATGTTTTTAACTTCCTCCATATCCATGGCCACCACCTCAGTCTGCAGAGCCGCCATCTCTAGGCATGATGACCCCAGGCACCTTCAGACTGTTGTCTTCATCTCCTTCCCTGCTCCCTCCAATCTATTCCCTGCACACCAGACCGAATGGCCTTTTAATATGTGAGAAAGATCATATCACCTACCTGCTTAAAACCTTTCCCTTCATGCATAGAATAAGCCCAAACTCCAACCCACACCCACATGGCCTGGCCTTGCCCCATGTCCCAACCTCATCCCACCACTCTATCCCCTGCTCAGGATGCTGGAAACTCACCAGCCTCTTTCTGCTCCTAGAACGTGGCTGGGTTGTGGCTGGTGTGGGGTTTTGGCACTTGCTGTCCCCACCCCTTGGAACTCCACCCCCAAATCTACCCCTTGTTCTTCCAGTTTTGGTTCAAATGTCACTTATTTCAAATGTTAAATGTCATATATTCCCTGACCATCCAG